TTGTAGGCGCAGGCGTCCTGTGACTGTCCCCATGGACGTCACAGTGACAGGCAAATCCGGATACGGACGCTGCCAAATCATGTATGTATGTATGTGGCTTGCCACAGTGACAGGCAAATCCGAAACCGGATGCCGCCAACCATGTATGTATGTATTTCCTTCATGTAATGGTGACGTCGTTAGCGTACATGGGTCCGTATGTATGTGTGTGCCCCATGCTGAGGCTGATGTTGCATTCTTGATGCTTCTTCACCGCAGTTGGGCTAAACCAACTTACACTTAAACTAGGTCTTTTTAAGCTGGCTAAATTTCATTCCGCTTTATTTGGTTTGTTCTGCCTCCCTGAATAATGTTCTATTAACTGGCCACGTTGCTTACACTAATTGCGCTTATCTTCGGTAATTTTGTTGCGTTTGTAGCATTTTAAGTAATTTGTGGACATTTCTTACTTATCACGGATTTGTTGCTAATCAACTTACTTCATATGGTAATTTAGCGAAGAGTTATGCCACCGTATCTGTATGCATTATTGGATTTATTTTATTTCAGCTTGTCGTTTAAAGTGAATGGCTGTTGTTTGATATCCCTGGTATGGTTGCGCTTGATGTGTATGTTGACAAGGTGCCTACCTGTCTATTACCCACTACATCGTTCATACTGGCTCCAGGAGACAGTTGGTCGTTGCTGGAGGGGACGGGGTGCACGGTTCTTGTGGCCGTGCTAGGCTCGAAGAGCGGTTCCATGCACTCAGTGTGGAGCGGACTACGGTCCAGCCACCGCCTTGTGTGTACTTGATTCCCCAAATACAGCGTGCTTGTGTTTGCCTGTGAAGGAGTGTGGGTCGGCTCCGTTGATGAAACGTGGTTCCCATCCGCATGCCTCCCGGTCTTATTCCTTCGGGTTTACACTGGATATGGGGTGTGTGGTTGTAGCTGTGGGTGGTGCAGCGCAAGCCATCCATGGTCCCTCTGTAGGCGCAGGCGTCCTGTGGCTTGCCACAGTGACAGGCAAATCCGAAACCGGATGCCGCCAACCATATGAGCCTTTTGATTTTGGCAAATTTACACACCAAATGTTGTTGGTGAGTCATTTTGTCCTCACAGACAGGCACGTTACAGTGGTTGCGCTGGGTCATGTAATCGCTCCAGGTTTCTGGACAAGGACGAGCTATGTAAGTGTGTTAAGCTGCATTCCTTATTGACATGCACTTGCGAGTTGTACTTCTGATGAAAGACAAGGGATTGGTGGACCGAACACTCTTTGGTTTCGAAGCAGTTGCGACTAGATTGCTGAAGCGTCCAACAAACTGAATCCAGGTGCTATCAGGTGCGCGAGAAGAGCGTCGTTGTCAAGTAAAGTAGATTCATCTAATAGCAAAGTGAATTTTCTGGTCGGAAATGAAGTAACTAAGATACTTTATATGTCCTGAGCCATCTCAGCTATCCGACTCGATGTAGTTGAGCTGCTGAGCGGTATGTCTTGAACTGCTTCTTGTGGATTGATATGCATCAGGTCCGACAGTATTATTGATACCAAAGACAAGATAATATTTTCTCCGACATTAGGTAGACTGCAGTTTGTGGCAATCCATTTGCTGATTTTATAGTACGTCAATTCGCCATTTTTTGTCCTGTCAGAAACCATTATCTTCAAAATTGGTCCATCTTCGATAGCCAGCAGCTTTCCGAAACATTTCCACAAAGTTTCCACCTTCGTCCTTATGAGCACTTTTTAAATGATTTTTCAGTTTACTTGGTCTCATGCTTTCATTTGAAAGAGTGTAGTGGTAAATTAAACACGTAGGTAAAGGTTTTGAAATGATGCGACAAATCCAAATGACAGGTATTTCACGGAGTACTGCCGAGCTAACTGCGGGCTAACGAGACCTAGCCGCCAGACGTACGCAAGAGTTGAGACTGGAGACGGAAAACGCGCAACCTCGAGCTATCGCACTGAGACCCAACGAGAAAATAGGACTGACCGGCACATGAGATGTCACACAGTGGTAGTGCTTTGAGGAAAACAGCACAAATGTCCGTGTGAATTTGTGCGGTAACTGCCGTAGCAATAACTGCAGGTTGCACAGTGAATGTGTGTGTCCAAAGTAAAGCTCAGTTGGTTCACTGTGTCAGCTCCGCAACAGAAAGTCTGCCGGATTTGGCTTTCACATCTTCGTAAACATCCACTTGCGTGCGCGTAATTCATTTCACTGGTCGGTAGTTATCAGAGTAGATAAGTGCGCAAAGAGAAACTATAAGAAAATTGTTTAAACGGATGTTGTTATTTGTGATATCGCAACCCACCCTCCGATGGCCCACCTAAAAAATTTTCTCATCCCAGGGCCCCCGGGAAATCTCTATGGCCCCAGGAGGGCCATATGGCTCCTGTTGATAATGGCTGGTCTAAACTACGACAACAGGTGTCTCAGTTCTAATATTTGCGTGTGGTCAATACTATCTCGACCACGTAGGAAAACAACTCTACTCTCAGTGATTCGGCTTTCATGGGGATCAGTCGTCGAAAAAGGAGACTCGGGAGATAATTGGATGCAGGGAAAATAATGTGGCTGTGAGTTCGCACACAACTTTTTCTTTTTTATAAGAGAGGAATGGATGCTGATAGTCCCCAATTTGAAAGCACCTCTTCAGTGTCACAAATAGTGTTGAACAGACCAGTAAGTTTAGTCAACAAAAAGTTCCCTTGGTCTTTCAGCAAATATAGAGAAAAGGTAGCCAGGTCCAGGAGCCTTGACTCGTTCATGTTGAATCACTTCCAAAGTGGGAGGTGTGACATCAAATTCACATGTCGAATCATGGTTCAGCAAACGGCAGTGTCGCAGCAGACCTACTAAACTTCAATACAAAATGGTCCGCCAAACGGGTTAGTTGACGCGACTGTGAATGAATCAATGGTCCACTTTTCTCAGCTATTAGGTCTCTAACCGAGGGCTTTCCGGAACCGACGCTATGGATGAGCTGGAACAGTACTCAGCTGTTACCAATGCTGTCACGGAGGCGAAACAGCTGACTACGATGGTGCACACGAGCGGGGCGAGATCGGCCAGATCACGTGAGCGGCTGACAGACTGGTTGTCATGGTCAAAGCGGAAGCTGACGAAATCAGACCGTCATTGCCGCACGGGTTGCTATGTCACGGACGTGATCCTACCTACAGGCAGGGAGTGGTGGCCGCTACAAGAGTCGAATCTGTTCAGACAAGAGTTGTGACTCACCTCAGTGATAGCGGCGAGGTAAGCACATGTGACCTATAAAAGCAGCCGTGTTTTGTGCCTAGTATACTTCGGTCTAGCAGGCTCAGCGTTTTGTTATCCCCGGCTGGTTGGTAGCGCAGAGAGTCAGAGAGGCAAAAGGGCAGCCTTACAACAAATGGCCGTAGGCTTCGCCATCTCACGGGCCCTGAAAACCCAGTAAGAGTCCCGGTCAATTCTACGTCAACTAGACAGTTTTCGCTTAAGTGAGTTAGAGGCTACGAAACTGAATACCCAACAAAATCTGTTTACAAGGGAGTAATAGGGGGATTTAGATGGCATAAGTAGTTCATCAATTCCAGACGCAGTCAGACAGCCATGGCATGTCCAAAAAAACACGTTACCTCCCGAGAATGGTCAGCGGTGCGTATTCCATCTGGCCCCCTGCGGAGCTAGAAACCGCAGCCCGACTGTTACCAATTGGTGGTGTAGACCACTGGGCTACGGTAGTGACCGAGGTGACAAAAAATTTATCTTTCAACAGTTCGAGGCAAGCCTCTCCAGGCGTGACTTAGTTACTGGATGGGATACAACACCGCTCACTATCCACTGAGGTGCAGGTTACTACCATCCAGTGAACAGGTCAGTCCCCTCATCAAGAGTTAAACCTAATAAACTTAAGCAGCCAATTAACTTGTGGCATTGTAATCAGTTTAGTCTGCTTATTAAGTATTTGGTTCGATCGAAAATATCGATGCCCCGGAAACTCATTTTCAATTCCGATTTCTCAAATTGGGTGTAAAGCAGGCTATAAGTCTAACTAGCGGATATCTCTTTTAAGTGATTCTCATCAGGTCATTACAATTATAAGGAAGAAACAAGTATGCCCACTTGTTCCCTTGGCCTAGAAACAATTCCGCGATGTCGGACAGTGACAGCGTAAGGTTGGCCGCAAAACCTGCTTCTAGTGAACCGACTTAGTTATTGATCCAATTTGTCGGTCTGGTTCAAACAGCAGCAGCTTCAACCTAGGTTTCATTTGCGTGTTTTTTCTTGACGATAATTATTGAAAAGAGTTCTTCGCTAATTGGACTTTTATTGGAATCTGGGAAAAAAAGCATTCTTTGTGACACACATTTTTAAGAATCCAGGTGAGCATACTTTCCATCGATGGAGGATAGAAATTTTACGTATAACCTATGAGTTGACGCTATATTCAATCGTGTCCACATTTTCGATCTAACAGCTATCGATGGTAAACTTCGTCATTAGACCCGTTCTGCTCATATTTCCGAGGTACAGATAGCGCGACTCGTATGGTCGACGGTCAGAGTACCGACCTAACGCTCTGTCACCATAGTCAGCGAGCACTACAATCAACATTGATGGGTTCAGAGAATTCCAATATATGTTGGGATTACGACGCAAATCTGTTTCATTGCAATTTACGACAAATAAGATCACTTGCATTGTTCCAGAATTTAGAGAACTCTCGGTGTTGCTTTTTATTAACACTGCACTCAAGCACCGGTTCATCCGTATTCAGCAAACAGTGGCAGTTGAGATAACGACGGTTGTTAATTACTGAGCGATTTAATTCGCATATTTGTAGCCAATGATGGCATGCCAATCTGGGAGATTGTAAGATATTCCTAATTCTTGGACTAAAACAGATGTACCTCACCATGTCAGAACAGATGAAGAAGTAGGGTCATAATATCAAAAAATAAGAGTACATATGTACATATGATTGATTACAAAACGAAATAACGATTCACATCAAGTGAGCATCTCATTTCTTCGCCTTCTTACGTTTGGAACTTTTCAAATTTTTGGATAGCTTCCCACGTTTTCCGGTACTGTTAAGCAACATGTCATTGAGAAAGCGGAAAACTTACGCGCTGACTTTATTCTTTCCTTTCAACTTTTTCTTACGTTTTATCATATGTAATGGGACTCGTTTGTTAACCATTGTTGAAGCGGTCTGTAAGTAGTTACCGCATTCGAAATACCTCCAAATAACTTACGTCAACTGGGAGCATAGCAGCTTCCGCTTTCTGCTGCGCTCGTTCTTGCATTAGGCGTTTGTAATTCTTGTACTCTCTCTTGGGGGGTGTCGCACCCATTTTCAACAACAGCGCCTTCCGAGCCTCACGACGTTCGGCTCCCGATTTGGCAGATATACTAAACCGCATCAAATCGAAAGGGATGTCACTCATTCTGATGTAGATACTTTCATCGTCCGGCATCGAGCTGACCTTGGGTCTGAAATTTTCATCGTGCTTCCTTTTTGAACCCATGGAAGCTGAAAAGATAGGGGAAAAGGTACAATGAAACACGGAAGTGCAACGAGCACAGTGGCGCAATGTATGTAAAGTAAAAGAGTGCAGGGAGCACAGCGAGTGGCTGAAATTAGTAGGGAGACGTTGCGCTTTCATTGTCAAGTATTCCAATATCGAAGGGATCTCCTTACTTCAATGCGAATTGGCGACGAAACTGCGGACGCCTATGAACAATCGGATATTAAAAAGGGTCCACCAGAGCGGGCAGAAGTGATATTAGCAACAGCAATGACAGTGGTGAGACTATCAGGAATTCAATTAAACGCTACTTGAGATCGAGCCAACGACAGACTGGCTTTTGATCATTTAACTAATAAAAAGATCATCTCTGAAGAGGAATCGCACAGTTCCAGATAGAACAGAAGAACAGCCCAAATATCCATCTTGTGACAGCTGATAGAGCAGGGTTATATGCGCAGACGAAAGAGAACGCCTGTGTTGCTTGATTTTAGGCTGAACTTAAAATGATAATACAAATAATAGAAAGTACTGAGCGAAAAGGTGAGTAGGAAAGACGAGGGTCATGGAGAGTAAGTGTGACGGATCGATTGCAATGAGGCTGGAACTTATCGTGGTGCTATGGTTTGTGTGCCTCAGCGATCCATTGAGCTATGCTGGCTGGTGCTTTTCGCACCTTCAGAGCAACTGATAACAGATTAGTCAATGGTTAGAGGCCAGACAAACTCAACCTCCTGGTCCTCCGGGTTGCGGGTTGGAATGAGGGTGGCACATTATTCTTTAAAACGGACAATTTGTAGTCCAGCGCCAAACCCGCTACCTTGCGGTAAGGTTTTCGAACCAAAGACTTTGGCTGGAAACCCTAATCGTTCTTCTGTCTAGGCCTGGGCAGCTTGACCGTATCTCGCCCACGCAATACAGTGAATTTCTCTTCAAACGGTTTCTTGATGCTCTGTCCACCGCAGAGAATAATCAACGGTGCCCTATCTACTGCATCGAGCAGGGTGCATAGGGGTTTGGATGCTGCTCAAGCCTTCCTGTCTCCTTATTCCCCCTCTTACACTTTTCACCATTATCGTCCCGTCCCAACTCTACTTTTATCCCTCCAGTTTGCAACCCCCTGATTCTTGGCCCTCCCAAAACATGCCTTACTAGGCTTTTAGCTTCTAGTTGCAACTCACATGCGTACGCGGAGCGCTACTCCTGTCCTGCCGACAAGCTCAAGTCCAATTTAGCGTTCCAGCCCAGTTCACCGTCTTCCATTTGGAGCACTCGATCATCCTTCAGATTGGCATGCTTAAAAATGTACCCACATTGTTAGAGATCGGTCAACAGGCAGCACTTGCCCGAACACTAGAGACCCTCTCGATCGACAGCTGCTGTTTATCGGAGACCCGCCTGCAAGACTCGAGCTCTGTGCTCCCTCTGCGATCCCCCTTCAGGTGACACCAGCAGCACTTACTCATTGCGCCAATCCGGCGATGATGCAGCTCCGAGCACCGGCCAAGCCGGTGTTCGCATTGCTCTGAGTCCCCGGGCTGAAGCTGCTCTGGTTGATTGGATTCCAATCAGTAGCCAGATGTGTGCGGTCCGATTGGCTGGCTCATTCAAAGCTTCGAAGTCGCGCGGGATTAACAGGTGTCTATTCTTCATCGCTGCCTACGCGCCCACAAACTCTAGTGATGATTCGGTAAAAGACGACTTCTACTGCCAACTGACCGAGCTCCTTCGCCATAAGTACGCCAAGTACGGACACTGTTGTGCTGGCGGAGAATCAGAACGCTCAAGTGAGAAAATTAGCCATTCATGAACTGCATCTAGGCGGCCAGCATGGTGTAGGCTCCCAGAAAGATAACGGTGAGCGGTTACTTCAGTTGCGTGAAGATGCTGGTTTATTTCTTGTGAGCACTCCCGACACAGCACCCGCCGCAGGGTGTTGGCGCCCACCAGCCTCGAACAAGCCCCGGACGCAAATGGATCACATTGCAATCAGATAACGCTGGACAGGCTGCGTCCAGAACTGTCGCTCGATTTGGAGCCCATGTGTGGACACTGACCATACACTTGTATGTGCTGACATGCGAATGCGTTTTGCGGGACGTCCAGGACGACGCTCTATGCGCATTGACACCAGGCAACTAAGGAAACCAGCTATTCTGCAAGCGTATCGAAATACGCTGACATGCAGGTCGAATAAGCGCTCACTGGAGACAATTGAAGGTCATTGATCGTATGTTCACCGGACCTTAGTACCAGCAGGTAAATCCTCAAGTTTAATAATCAATATGGACATTGGGTCTCTTCGCAGTCTCTGGAACTTATCAATGCTCGCCGGCATATTCCGGCTAGAAGCGAACACAGTGAAACTCGCAAAGAGCTCCGGGCAAAACTCCGTGCTAGCCTGAAGAGAGGCCGCGAATCTTGATGGTCTCTTCCTGCGTCAAAAATGAAAGTGGCACGCTGCCCTTGGTAACCATGGTAAGTTATGCCGTCTGATACGGGAAACGGGCAGTAGGAAACCTATTACTAGCGAAACAATTTGTGAAGAGAGTGAAAAGCCTATCCACAACTTTTCGAAACGCTTGGAGCCTTGGGTTGAGCAGTTTGAATGGCAATTTAATCGGTCGGAACAGTTCGATTTCTCACCAGCCACTGATCGCCCCGCTCCGTGGGCTATCTCTTTGGATCCACCTTCTCGTTCAGATGTCGAACGTGAGATCGCACTGTTGAAGTGAAATATAGCTGCAGGACCACATGATCTTTCTCCAGCCCTCTGTGAATTCGGGGCCACGCTCTTGTTGATGATTTACACGAATTACTTGTGAAACTATGGCAGCAGGAAATTATCCCGCAGACTGGAGCCGCTCCGTTGTTATCCCGATCTTCAAAGAAGGCTCACATTCGGAATGCGGCAAACATAGAGGAATCAATCTAATCGCCATCGCTTCCTAATTACTTGCTAAATTCGTGAGGAGCAAGCCGGGTTTCGTCGAGGTCGTGGCTGCATTGACCACATCTTCACTTTGTGTCAGTTGCTGGAGCACCGTCACACATATTGGCGGTCCACCGTTGTGGTGTTCCTCGATATCAAAAGTGCACTCGATTCGGTTGGGACTGTCTACTCAGGAAAGGTGTGCCAGAGAAATATGTAAATATTATCCGCGCACTATACGCGCGTAGCACAAGCAGAGTGATGGCTTACGGCAAGCTGTCGCCGCCCTTCAGTATCTCCAGTGGGGTGAGACAAGGATACCCGCTGTCACCTTTCCTCTTCAACTTCGCTATTGACGAAGTCATGGAGATTGTATTCAAAGGACACGACTTAGAAGGACTTCTTCACTTGGAGTATGCGGACGATATTGTCCTCATGTGACAGCTCCCAGAAGTGCCAAGCTGCACTGGACCGATTAGCACTGGCTGTCAGCAGCTTCGGACTTTGGTTTGCACCATCGAAGTGCAAATCGTTCTTCCATGATTGGCCTGGACCGCCTCTTACGCCGACCCCTGGTGGCGATCAGCTAAAAGTCGTACAAAAATTCAACTACCTGGGAAGTTGTATCAGCATCCGTGGGATCGAAGATGAGATCACGAGACGTATAGCAAAAGCTCGAGGTGCTTTTGATAACCTTCGTCACTTATAGCGCCGGCAGGACATCACTCTCGCTCTGAAGGGTAGAGTGCACAATGCGGCAGTACGTTCGACCTTACTGTACGGTTGCGAAATCTTGGCCCTTAGTTCAGCGGACATATAGAAGCTAGCTGCGTTCCACCACCGGTGCCTTCGCAATTCAGCTCACATCTGGTGAGAACACCGGGTGAGCAACGAACGGCACAGGAAAAGGAAATGAACCGCTCAGCACCGTTATTTCATGCATCAGGTTCCGATGGCTCGGCCACGCGTCACGCATTCCAGCCCACCGACTCTCGCGACGTGCGTTGTTTGCGCGCCGGGGATGTGGATGGAAGAATAGAAGAGGTTGACAAGCGATGACTTTGTCAAGAGGAATGAAGGCTCCCACTTCGGAGCTGGCTTCGGTTGGAGCGTCACGGTTCCCTGGTTGGGGTCCAAAAGACGATGAATACGTTTGTCTGGATACACTTGTTGATATGGCTAGGAGCCGATCTCAGTGGCGTTCGTGCTGTGAGTTTCTTTGTCCCGCCACATCCCTTTTAGCTTCCCCCTCCAACCACGATCTCCTTATTTAGCATTTTATAATGTTGCATAGTAAATTATTTTTTCACCTGCATAGTAGCCGGCTGGTAGCTTTCCGGAACAATGCCCATCCGTTGCTGGTAGCTTAGCTGGCACGCCACTGTTGCATTTATTTTCTTTTTTCCTTTTGTGTACTGCGGTACAGTAGCTGAGGTGATTTCCATGTCCAGCTAACATGTATAATGATGATAATGATGAGTGTGACGGAAAGCTTCACGCGGTAGAGGCGAGCAGGAAATCAGTTTGGAGTCATGAGGGAGAACGTTTCAATCCACCACAGAAACCGTATGATCCCTAACAGTGATGGGTCCATCGACACGTGTCGCGATGAAAGACACAAGAGAAGGACAGTGTTAAATGTGTCACGGATACTGTATAATGGAAAACGAAGTTTATGCACAAAAAGTTCACTTCGTAGGCGTAATTCCGACAAACAACAGAAAACAAAGCAGTGGCAATAGCTAATATTCTGATAAATAATACTCGCTGATGATGATGATGTGGACAGCGGTGCTCATGAGACCAAGTCACTTTATCCAGCACGCCTGAGTGACAGATGTAGTTGTTGTCAACCCTCGAGTGGTGTGTTTGACGTGGATGCGATTGTTGTTGTGTTGACGTGTTACCAACCCATCCAACAACGCCGCTTCGATTGCTGGCCCACAGGCAACAGATTGTTGGTGGGGAAACGAGACTCACGACATCTGCAAGTGATGCGCTACGGTCCAATTGTAATTCTGCGTACGCAAAGTGCGTATGGTTACGAAGTTCAAATCAGCTCAGGTTAACAAC